ACTTTGTGATGAAGACTGGAAATACTATTAATAGTCTCGACCTGATGTCCCTCCTACAGAAGCTCTGTAAGATACTGCATTAATTCGCCACTGTACTCTTTTTTTTAAGAAAATGCAAGACATGCGGGCACGCCCTGTTTTATAAATTATTGGCGATGTGCACCAGGCGGGCCTATCGTGTTGTTTTAGGATCGGTTGGAATCTCCATAGCTAGAGTTTATGGCATATTGGTCCTCGAACATCAGGAAATTAGTTGTGCAATTGTATGATACCTGACCAAGGAACAACCCCTCAAAATTTCAGCATTTTGTCTTTTCTTGTCTTCGAATTAGTAATTTTCTTACCAAAAATTTTCGCGGCACCGTATGTGAGGACCAAAAATACCTTGGTGCTGAATTTGGAAACTTTAAGTTCCACGTGGGCTGGAAACATTCCCTTAAAGTTCCAACTTCTCAACTTTCCTGGTTCCCAAGTTAGCGATTTTCCCGCTAAAAACTTATACAGGGCCGTACGTGAGAACCACATACATTTGGAGGCAGAATTTGAAATCTTCGAGTTCTATGTAAACGAGACACACAATCATAAAATTTCATTATCTTTTCTGGTTTCAATTTAACGATTTTCTCGCTCAAAATTTCATGCACTCCTACGCGGGCCTAGACGTGCGTAAGAGTTAGTATCACGGTTCTGGAGTAGCACTTGGTCGGGAAACTCACTGGCAAAATGTCAACGCCGGAGCTTACTTGGGTGCCGAGTTGAAATACCCGGACAGACGCACACAAACACATACACACACCGAGGTCGTCACAATATGCATTTTCACATTTGCATATATGCAAAAACTCATAATAAATATAGTGAATTATTTCAAAATTTATGAGTTCCACAAACAGCAAAATGTTTCTACTTCTTCCAGCACTTATGTTATCCAGTTACGTGTTTACCTTACGTACCTTTTTGAAGCTCCAGTTTTTAAAAACCACAGAAAACACATAATAATTTACACAGTGGGAAAGCAAAATTAAACTTATAAGCATAAGACAATCTTTAAAAGATTTCTTTGGATTTTGTACGAGCTAGTTTGCGCAGATAGAGTTTGCAAGAGAAGCGACAAATAGAAGACCAGTAAAATCGATAAGAGTAAATTGTGATAGAAAACCGACGAAACCGATTAGAGTATATTGTGATTAATATTAGAATTTGCAGAAAAAAAAAAATAAAACTATTCTTAAAAACGGAACAAAAGAAAATTATTACATTTGCCGACGGCGGTTTCACATTTGTTTCAGTTTTGGGCATTACAATTTGATCTTCCTTGCAAGATTTGGCTTCGGATTTGTCCTCGTCTTAAAAAAAAGAAAAATATAATCTTTACCGAGAATATCGAGAAATTAATCTATGGCTTGAAAGTATCCGAAATTATGAGAAGTGCTCACTTTTGTCGATACTTTCTGCTGAAGCATGCACAGCGATCGTGCCACCATCTTCGGCTTTTATTTCCTTCACTTCCTCGGTTTCCTGCTCTTTCTTTACGATGGGTCCAGCACTTGTCCCTTCTTTCACACCATCAGAACTGCTGCTTATCTCCTTTTTCTCATCATCGTTACTGTTATCATTCAAAGTCTGAAAACAAATTTAGCCCATTGCTGATACATCCTTGCTCATTCCCCATACAGCAGCTAGTCAATAAGGAGCTAAGAAAAAAGCGTGCAAATTGAGAGTTCGCACTTTTCGGCTCATTTTTATGCGTTTTTGCATTTATGTAAATTGCAAAAACGCATATTGGGAAGAGGCTGTGTGTGTGTGTGTGTGTGCGTGTGTGTCTGTGTGTGTGTGTGTCTGTGTGTTCGCACTTTTTGTCACCCACTTTCAACTCGAGAC